CATCTCGACCGTGCAGCCGACTAGAATCGCAAGGATCGAATTCGCTAAGGTGTCGTTGTCATATCCAAGGGCAGTAAAGCGTGCCGACAGATCCTCTTCAGACTTCTGACCGCCTCCAAAGAGCTTAGCGAAAGAGGAAAAGATGCTGAACAAGGAAAACTTGGTGATGCAATAATCAGCACGTAACTACAGGGTAGTTTTTAGCCTTACTTACTCCGCTGTTGGCTTGCGTCCCCTTGATCTGTTTGAGTAGAATATCGACGTGCCCTTGGACCGTCTTCAGCAGGGTGAGGTACTTATAGGAGTCGAAGTCCAGGAAGAGGAACCTGAAATATACTTGAGTAATTGCGGCGTGTAGGTCTAACACCCTGCTTACTCGTAGATCTCAGTGAGCATGGTATACAGCTTGGCCGGAGTGAGTCCGTCTTCGGAGTCATCGTTGTTCAGGTGAATACCAGCCTATGTTCGGTTATCAGCCTCCATACCTTGTGGACACAACAACCGAGAAGCAGACGCACCACCTCGCACGCCCAGTAAATGGGGACATACTTCAGCACGTCCCGGACAACATCGACGCTCTTCGTGGGCTTCCCGACCCCCGTCCATGCCTCGCTGACCATCATCTCGCGCGTCTTCTTGTAGAAGAACTCCGTGATCTTCTCTATGGACCCCGGGGCGCCGGCAAGTGCACCAAGCATGGCACGTTGCTCGCGCTGGGCACGTGCAGGATCGTTGGAGGCAAGGAAAAATCTAAGAACAAAGGCTTCAGCCAAGTACACATGTTCTAAGGCGGCAATGACGCTTACCCTTGACCCTCGATTACCCGTCCAGCTCTCTCCTGGTACAGCGCGTCAAAGTTTCCGCTGACCAAGACGTGCGCCGCGTCTCTGTATTCGTCAACGTCGACTGCATTCTGCACAGGGCTGGGAGGCTTCAAGTTGTAGAGATCGATGTCTCCGAGCTTCGTAAGGATGGGCTGCATTGCCTCGGGAGTCATCAGCGGGAACCAAGTGTAGGTGCTATTGGCGGTGTAGTGATTCGGGAGGGCACGCATGAGGAGGCGGCCGAGCGTGCTTCCGTACCCTGGCGCGTTTGCGTCACGTTGACAGTCGGCAAAGCCCCAGGAGGTCATGTTGTAAGGCGTATAGTCGGCGGTGAAGAAGCGGTCGCCGCGAGTAAGAGCGATGGCGTCAGCGAGAATGGCTCGGCTAACGGTGTACGCTGAAATGTGCAAATCTCATTATTTGTCTCGGGCCCAGAAGGTTAGATAACTTACAAGGGCAGAGTCCTGCGCCATCGACGACGGGTTTGGCCTCCTCAGCTTGGAGACCAGTGTATAGCTCGAGATGGCCGATGTCACCGTACAGCTTCTCAGCTGCTGCAGCCACTTCAGGATCCGAGTTCCATTCCAAGAACGACGAGTAAGCTATTGAATGATGTCAGCGTTGCATTAAGGAGCTGCATGTAAGGAACTCACGCTTCAACCCCAAGAACTACGCACGCAATCAGTCTGATAACAAGTGACTATGACCACGAATATTCTCACCTTCCTGAAATCGTTCAAAGAGCAGAGGCCCCAGCGACGGCTCGCCTCAATTCCCATGACCTCATGGAGGCGCATACAGTGGGGTGTTCCACGAGCCTTGAATGCACCAGCAGGGTGCCGCGTTCTACGTCATCTACTCAGCATTCTGATATCATGGCGAAGCTGCGAAGATAGCAACTTACGCCGCCATTAAAATCGCCGCAAGCTCTTCGTCCTTGAACGACCCGTCCTCCTGCCTTTGCATGTTACCAAATGTCCAATGCGTGGCATCGGGCTCCTGCGCCTGCATTTTTTGCATGACTTGTTTTAGGTCTGCCATGGAGATGGTATCAGGGTCGCGGTTGCCGAACAGGTGTGTCGTTAGCTGCTCGACCCATTGCTCATCATCTGGGGGTATCTCGTGTCAGCTCAATAAGACCAACATGGAAACGAGCTTACGCTCTGATGTGGTAGCGTGCCAGCGATAGAGACAGTTGAACTATTTCGGACAGTCAGATGACAAGTCCGATATATCCGGCGCTGCGCTTACCTCGACACTACATGCGTTTCCACGCCCACGCTCGAACAGAGAATGGTCCTCCTGACGGATTTCCTGAAGTGCAGTGGATTGAGTAACTCGTATGCCTCGTTTATGTGCAAGACTCACCCCGAACGGATTCAAACTCCAGCTGCTGCCCTGCCGTACCAAACCCAGGATTGCGCTGAAATAATCTGAGAAGATCGCGGAGCCGAACCATGCACAGTTGATCAGGCGAGCAGTCTGGTAGATCTCTTCCTCTTGTGCGAGGATCTTTGCCGAGCGCTGCGGGTCGTCTGCAGGGATACGATCCGGGTCAGTGTACGTGTCGCGTTCGTTGATCTCCAAGACCTTTCGGGCAATGTACTAGATGGTCTAGGTGTTTAGCCTTAATGCATGCATGATATGCAGAGTACGAACGTTGTGGTTCCTGCTGAACAGCACAAGGAGAACGCATACTGCCGGGGGCAACAGTAGGAGACGGTCTTCTGCGAACGTATCGGGGTAAAGTAAACCCCGGCCGTCCCTCACGCGAATCTTGTTCTGTGCCTCCTGGTTGCATCCATACAGTGGTGCGAGGTCGACGTAGGAGGATGTCTCATTGATATTCACGTTTTCGTGAGATGTGCGAAAGACGCTGCAACGAGCCGTTCGTTCCAGTTATTCGCACAACAATCGTGGAAAGTGACGTACGTGTGAATGACCAACGCAGCAAAGGAAAACATCATGCTCGACAAGCCGGCCGGGTGCTTAACGAACTGTAGACGCGCATATTTTTGAGTATCTGATTCAATTAGACGACGGTCATGAGGAAGAATACCTTTTCCCGGCGGAGAAGCGTGTCAAAGACTAAGCCAGCGTCTGGCAAGTCCCTGGTCGTAAGTGGATGCGTCTGCTGAACGCTGCGCGAGTAAGGCATTCCTGCCTTGCCCATGTCCGGGTCGCAAATGTTGTTATACGAGCCATCGGCAGTGCGCCAAGCGTACTGTTGGCCGAGATATGTACTTGGAGGGTGCGGGAGATCGTTATACACTTGCGCGCCACGTCAGCCGCCATAATTCGCCAAGAAAACGTGAATGTCGAACTCACGGAGCTCGATGACAAGGTTCTGTAGCTTGGTCGAAACCGTTCCCTCCGGAAGTTTAGATAGGAACATTAGAACATGCTCAAGCTGGGGACTGCGTCAATGCATGAACAAGAAATCGCCGTTGGGTTGTGACACTTACGAGCATCTTTCTATCGTCTATCGCATTGTTGTGTTTGAGAGCGTCGATAATCCCTGGCTTTACCGCGTGTCAACGAAAGTGACCTACGTCGACACAAAACACGTACCAGCGCTGAGATGTCTACCAAGGATATGTCTCTCTTGACCTGCAATCACGTCGTTAGCAGGCTATTCGGGCAGTCGCGGAAGTGACTGAGTAACCCACAGTTTCGCGAAACTCGTCAATAATCTTCAGGCTTCCACCAAAGTGGTCGTCGTCCGACGAATGCTTGCCAGCAACGGTCATTAGCTTGGTGTTGCAAGTCTTGGACAGAGTAGCTTACAAATTTCGAGGGGAATTTAGTCGACGGGGTGGCCATTCTGTTTGCTGGGGGAAGGGAGTGGTAAGCGGGAACAACATGTGGGGCAGGCTCGCGTTCCCATATATGCGGACATGAGAGCATAGAAGGAAGCGAATAAACCTTACACAGGGGGTTTCCATGCATCATTCAGCTGAAGACGGAAACATGCCAAACGGAGGCAGAGGCAATCCTGATTTCATGAGTCGGTCATTCAACTAATGACGTGGGAAAATGCTCAACGTCGAAGCCTCTCCAGTCACAAGCCATAGTAATTGCCCTTGTTCATTTGCGCGCACGAAGCGACGGCGCCGACGGCCAAAGACATTCGCCGTCTAGCATCCACCGATGCCGCAGACTCACACGAGGTTTAAATGTTACTCCCCACGTTACGACCTGGCAGTGAGCCGTAGATATCGTCACTGTGACTAGAAGTAAATGAAATCAGGGACGGAAGGTTGAACTATATCATCACGAGAACCAACCAAGGAGTCCTTCCCTGCATATACGGCTCTTGTTATGTTGCGGGACCGATATGCTGCCGTTGCCGTCGCAGTGATGGCGGCTGTATTCATGCTTCCATCGTCAGGCAAATGAGCTCGTTCATAGGGTGATTGGGACGCTGGAATCCTGGGGCCTGACATGCTGCGGCCCGACGTCGGGCATGTCCAACGATCCGCAAACCATAGCAGATCTGTCACTTATCACGCCGCCCCGCGCACTTGACGCGCACCGTTTATTTTCTTGTGTTTGTTCCTGAGTCCAGACATTTCTTGCGTCACTGTCCTCCACGTTTGAGTGGGCCGCTTTTGTGCTGGTTTTCTTGCTGGATCCTTGCATCGTGCTTGAGAATTTTCGCCACGTTCTTCCAGGCATGCAGCCAGGTCGTTGTCCTACCGCATGCCCGCCATGCAGGCCTTCATCACTACCTCCGAGAGGGACATAATATGGTATGCGCACACGCGACTCGCCCTGTGTCTTGTGCCTCCCGTGCCCCCATCTGCGCAAGTGATGTATGTCCTCGTCATTTTTGCTTCACAAGCCTAACAGTCTTTGATATGCACACAGGCTTGAAACAGAGTTCAGGAGGCTGCGCTCGCCATGCTCCCCCTCGTTCCTAGGGTTGCCACCCGTTTTGAGGTCATCCGCTCAAGTCGACGCCTTGCTCACCAGGCTCGAAGAGACCCGCCGTGAGCTGCGTACAGCTCGCAACGCATTCCTCCCCGTCTCTCGCATTCCAGTTGAGATGCTCTCGACGATATTCGAGTACCTCCTCGATCCGGATCCCAGCACGTTCTCTGTCCCGCGCACGAAGGACCTTCGGACAGTCTCGCAGATTTGCCGGCACTGGCGCGATACGTCTCTGAGCTGCAGCCTCCTGTGGCGCTGGCCACAAGTCGCGGGCGTGCATCCAGAGTGGACGAAACTCATGCTGAACAGGTCGGGGAGAGCGTCGATATTCCTCAGAGCGCAGCTCTACGCCCCGTCAGCACACGTGGTGGAGGCATGCCGGCTTGTCCTTACGCAGGTCCACCGTCTCGGCGAGATCCATCTCTCAGGCGATGGCCTGTCTATCAGCATGCTACTCAATACTGTGTCGTATTCGGCACCGCGGCTACGATCTCTCATCGTGTCGAATTCCGGGTGGAAGGCTGAGTCGGATGCACCAACTCTCGGGTGGTCGTTCCTCCAAGGAGGGGCGCCTGTGTTAGAGCGTCTGGAGCTCAGAAAATGTGCCCTCCCATGGAATGCCCCCTTGTTGCTGTCCTGCCCGGAACTGCAAAGCCTGGTAGTCGACGGTCTGGGGTCAAATCGAGCTTCGCTGTCACAGTTTCTCGGAATTCTGAAGAATACGCCGCACCTCAAGGTTTTGCACATGGAACATGTTGTGCCCACAAGCTACGCTTCCACTTCCCTCGGCGAAATTGATAACACGCCACTGCAAGGCTTGCAAGAGCTCTACCTTTCTGGACCAACGTCAGACATCACTGCGCTACTGACACACGTTACCTTTCCTCGATCCACCTCTCTCTCGCTCCGCTGCACCTGCAACGACAAGCCAGACGAACTCCCATCACTCGCGGGTGCTCTGTGCTCTCGCCTCGCTGCATCATGCAGCACGTTTCCCCTACGCGCTCTCCACATCAGCCTCGATGCCGTCCAGATAACTATGCACGCGAAGGCGACGGAGCACATTGTCGAGAACGAGTCGCTCTGGGACCTCGCCGAAGAGGGCGCCCTGTCCGTAACGCTCGTCGCGGGGCCGGACACGCTGCACACGCCCGCGGCGGTCGAGACGCTCGTCAGCGCGTTTGCGCTGCAGGACATCGGGGCGCTGCTGCTCGACGACTACGAGGGGTTCCTGGACGAGCCCCTCGTGTGCCACCTGCTCCGCAGGACGCCGAACCTGCGGCTCGTGCACGCCCGGCACGATGCCGCGTCGCCGGTGGTGTCTGCCCTCCTGTCAGACGCGACGGCTCGGGGGCCGGACGACCCGGAGGTGCTCCCGCGTCTCGAGGTGCTCGTCCTGGAAGAGGTCGACATGAACTGGGCCTTCGACTCGACGCCCTTCGTGCACATGCTGCAGGAGGCGCAGTTCCTCCGCTGCCTGCGCCGGAGCCCGATCGACGAGCTGCGTGTCAAGCGCTGCATGAACGTCGGGCCGAACGACATCAGGACGCTGTGCCACCTCTTCACAGACGTTCACTGGGACTCGTTCGAGGCGTACGTCACGGACGCGGAAAGCGACCAGGAGGCCGATGAGGTGTGGCCGGACGAGAACATTTGGGCCGATTATTGGGAGTATGAGGGCGTTGAGTGGCATTCTTGATCTGCGCATCTCGATGGTGTGCTTCTGGGCTGGATCCACTAAACTATTCCCTGCTATTTATCCTACGCCGGTTATTAAGGGTTTTCCTATGTATTTGTATGTATCATGTATGATTATGATGCGTTACTGGTAGTCAACATGGCGCTTTTCAGCTCCATTCACCAGCGGCCCTCGCACCTCCGATCAAACGGGCGCTTGAGCGGCGGGGGGCGGGATCGTCGGGTTTGATCCGCTTCAATTGGACGAGTTCCTGTGGGCGCCTGCAATGGTCACCCGACTCTTGCGGGGCCTCCGTCACTGTCTCTCTCCTCTCCGTTGCGCATCTACCAAGCCGACGTGTTGCATTTTCCAAAGAATTTTCGACCTAGGCCGTTGCCTGAAAATGAAGACAGAGCCTCAGCCATCTGCTTCTGCGCCGAGCACAGACCTCAAGCGACCAAACACGGACGCGCCCACGGAGGCAGAGCCCGCACAGAAGAAGCTGAAGCGGGAGACGGAGCGGCAAGAGAGCCCGGACGATGCCGGTACATGTGAGCCTGTCGCGGAGGGTTCTGCGGCAGATACGCCCAAGCAAGGCGGAGAGAAGAAGGGCAGGCAGGAGCAGTCGCGTCGGGCAGCGCACAGGGCATGGGAGAAGGAGAAGAAACAGGGGATCCGACGAGGAGGAACGCGTACGGAAAGTTCAGAGGCCAGGGGTAACGACAACGAACCCAAGGAGCCCAGGCTGCCCAAGCGGCAGACCGCGCTGCTCATTGGGTTCTGCGGGTCTGGGTATAATGGTATGCAACTGTACGTGCTGATGCATGCGTTGCTAGGCCCAAGTTGTTCTGAACATGTGCTAGACAGCGTAATCATGAAAATATTAAGACGATTGAGGGCACGCTGTTCGATGCGCTCGTCAGAGTCGGTGCGGTGTCGAAGGACAATGCGGATAATCCCGCAAAGGTGTGTCGCGCATGGCGCTACGTTGTATATTCATCGAAGGTCATCTTATGTCTAGGTCAACTTCAACCGCGCAGCGCGAACAGATGCAGGCGTGCACGCTGCTGGAAATCTGGTGTCCATGAAGATGATCACATCCATCCCAGGAGTGGACAATTTGATTGCACGTATAAATGAGGAGTTGCCTCAGGAGATTCGTCTTTGGGATACCGTATGTTCCTTACCCTGATCATCATGATATGCTATCTGAAATCCTCGCTGGTAGGTACGTGTGCAAAACGCTTTCAACGCGAGAACGTAAGTTAATGCGAAGCTATTACTCTCCGTCCTGACCAGTTTTCTTAGAACGTGCAACGCACGAAAGTATACCTATTTCTTCCCCTCATATCTCCTCATACCCCCAAAACCCGGCAGCGGCCTCCACAAGACCGTGTTCGAACAAAACAGCGCTTCTTCTCCCTTGCTCGACTTTTGGCAAGGCGTACCGGCCGAGTCGAGCCCGAATGATGACCTCGCGCGGAAGCGAACCTGGCGCGCGCCGAAGGAAGTGGTGGAGATGCTGCGTGAGACGGCCAAGAAGTTCGAGGGCTCGCACAAGTTCCACAACTTCACAGTCGGACAAGAGTACAAGGACCCCACCTCGCAGCGGATCATGAAGAAGATCGAGGTAGGCGAGCACTGACAGATCTGGATGATGCTGAAAGCCGACGACAGGTTGCAGACCCAGTTGTGTACGGAGATACCGAGTGGATAAGTGTGCTTCTGCACGGGCAGAGCTTCATGCTTCACCAAGTGCGCATCAATTCAATTGTGTGGTGCGGATAAGTTCTGACTACGTCTTTGTGCAGATTGTGAGTGTCGTTACTATGCTGCAATAACAAGGCTTATGCGTGATTCTGCCAGCGTAAAATGATCAGTTTGCTTGTCCTGGCCTGCCGAACAGGGACGCCGCCTACTGTTGTCGAGGAGGTCAGCTCGTCCTAATTCTGTTATCAACGCTGTAGCTGATGTCTCTCGTATAGCTGTACGGTCCCCGGTCTGCGTTTATTCCTAAGATGCCTGCGCTTGGCCTCTTGCTAGAGTATCCTATATTCGACAGCTATAACAAAAAGATCGAAGGCACGAACGCCAGCTTAAAACTTGATGACCCAGAGTATCGCCTGCCGATCGATTTCGAGATACACAGAGAGAAGATAGAAAAATTCAAGCAAGGCTTCATCTATTCCAGGATGCACAGCATCGAGAGCCAGAGTGGCCTGTGCGTTCCGCTCTCTTTGGACGTGCTTGCCACTGACGCTTCCCTAGCTTTGACGCGTGGATCCGGTCTCTGGACAAGTATCAAGGAAACGACTTGCTCTACCTGACTTCAAAAGGCGTCCTTCCTGATTCGGCCGTCATCAAAAGGGGCGAGCGCAGGTCGGATCCGTTCCGCGAAAAGAAGCGATTCGACGCAACGGTCTTTCCTGAGGGCCGAGTTTCCAAGATCGAGATTGAAGAAGCAGAGGAAGCGGACGAGGACGAGGAAGAAGAGGTGCTGCCGGCTAACAAGAAGGAACGTGAGGAGTTGGAGGGGTAAAGATCACAAGCAACATTGTCGTTGTAGATCGTATATAACGGTACCTACACCATTGTAGAGCCGTTCAGCCTAGTTCTCGAGCTCAGCCCGCGGCCTCCATGTCTGGCAGACTCTTGAGACCATAAGCTGCGCACGTACACACGGACAAGCTATGACTGGAAACGCCTCATGGTCTGGATTTCGTCCAGAAGAGCTTGGAGTCTGTCGTCGTCAATCTTGACCAGGCTGAGAATCTTGCATTCAATGATAGAGTTCATCCGTGCGGCCAAGGGTCAACGCACCTGGGAATGATGCTCTTCGATTCCTCAGAGTCTGCCGGGCACAAGTTCGCAATTTGGGCGGTCTCAAACTGTGTTAGTGCAGGTTCTCGGCGAAGAGTCCTGTGGTTAAAAAAAGGTTATGGCACGAGCACAAGAGGGAATGATGAGGGCGTACTCTCGAACTGCGCTCGCTGCGTCGGTCGTGTTGAACTTGCCGAAAGTCTTGACGTACTCCAGCGTCTTATTGTAGACGCTATGAGGTATGAGAGATGAGTGAACTCGACGGAGAGTGTCCAACGTACGCAGTATCTGGTGGCTCCTTATCCCTGTTCTCGAGCAGATACTTCACCTCAGAGATTAGCAGACAACCGGCATTGTTGAACTCTGACGCGAGATTAGCCCTCAGGCGCGGCTGTCAAATAATGTGCAAACATACCAGACCCAAGCTTCAACGCTGCTGCATCCTCATCTTCCACCTGAGGCCTGTGTCGCAAGCGGGGAGTCGACATGACGAGTCCAGGGAAGGGTGGATCTGCCCCGGAAAGGAAGCCGTGAGCTTCGGAATCTAACAATGCCAAACAAGAACTATTTAGCTTACATAATCCCTAACATGTGGGAGCGCTGTGCTGCATCACCAGTCCCGCACTCACGTCGACGATTCACCTTCTGCTCTCACCCGGTAAGCGGGTTTTGAGAGCATTGTCTTTTCTGGCTGTGGCTTGCTGCGTTTCGCCATCTCTTGAATACAATCTAGAGCGACATACAACGGTGACAGGACGAAGCCGTGTCCACCCAAACCTACGAAATGGTTCAGACGTATGGGACGGCGGCCACCGGCCGTAGCGACGCTGAGCCGCGCATGAGTCTAGACGAGCGCGAAGCATTGCTGGGAGACGGCGCGACAGCAAAAACGCCGAAGAAGGAGGGCCTTGCTACATTACATAGCTCCGTGGGGAACCTTGCGAATACTATTATTGGTAGTGGTGAGTCGCACGTTCAATGGCAGGTAGTCATGACTCACTGACTCTCTCTAGGTATGCTCACATTCCCTCTGGTATGTTCACGCTTTTCAGCCGCGCATACAGTCTAATATACCAGGTATCCACGTAGGCACTTGGATCTTCCGGTATCATCCCAGGAATGTTAACATGTCTATTCTCCGGTTCCGTCGCGGCATTTGGGTTGTATCTTCTCTCGCTATGTGCTGTCAAGGCTCCGCACAGGCGTGCATCCTTCTTCGCCATCGCAGAAATAACATTCCCAAAAGCCGCGGTATTCTTCGATGCGGCCATTGCGATCAAGTGCTTCGGTGTATCTATCAGGTAGGCAGAGACGCAACTCTTGTGAAATGTAAAACTGAAAAACTTATGTCATATCATGCAGCTACCTTATCATTGTGAAGTCGCTTATGCCGAACGTCGTAGCAGCGCTTTATCACGACCTCACGTCCCCTGACACCAACCCTCCAGATTGGGCTCTCTCTGGGCGTAACTGGATCTGTGTCCTCATGCTTGTCCTTGTTCCGCTCGCGTTTCTTCGTAACTTACACAGTTTGAGACATACAAGCTACATTGCTTTGTTCTCTGTGGGTGAGTCGCGCAACCATACGATAATCCGAACTGCAGCTGACGCTACCAAAAGCTTATCTAGTCGTGGTGGTAGTCGTGTGCTACTTCCGACCTCTGCCAGGTACACCGGAGCGCGGAGAGATCCATCTCATCAAATTCACCCCGAACTTTGTGTCGACCTTCCCTGTCCAAGTCTTCGCCTACACGTGTTCTCAAAATGTAAGCGACGTCTTAGGCGCGCTGGGAGTATGCTCACGGAACTTGCCTAGCTCTTCCCTATCTTCAACGAGATTAACATGAACACTCAGAAGCGGATGAACATTGTCATCGGTACATCGATCGGTGGTGCCGCTCTCATCTATGAAATTATAGCAATCTTTGGATATCTCACATTCGGTTCCAAGGTTAGCAGTCTATGCTACTATCTTAACAGAGTCCTGAGCAAGTTTGTAGGTCGGCGCCAACATTATTGCCATGTATCCGTCCACCTCGCTATTTATTGCAGTGGGGCAGCTGGCGATCGCCATTCTTGTCCTGTTTTCGTACCCATTGCAAGTGCACCCGTGCCGAAACTGTCTGGACAAAGTCTTCCATGCAGGCCATGTCTCGCCACGCAAGACAAGCGGCGATGAAGACACGGAGGACGCTGAAATAGAAGACGAGCACGGCGGCAGTTCGGATATGGGCCCGCTTAAGCACACTGTACTTACGATAGCCATCATTGTGAGCGGTTTCACGGTCGCTTATTTTGTAGACGATCTCCAAATGGGTGCGTGTACTCTCATATGCCACTGACCGCATGTCCATGTTCTGACTTCTTTGAATCTCCAACAGTGCTTTCCTTTGTGGGTTCCACTGGGTCGACTACAATCTCGTTCATCTTACCGGGTCTTTTCTACTGGAAGGTGTGTACAAATGTCTGCTTTCTATGACGGATTGCAATTGCTGACTGGGCTCGGGCGATGTCGTCAGTTGACGCGCAACGATCCCGAGGCGTCGAGGGGATTGAATAGAGCTGCGCTAGCGCTGGCTGTGTACGGTGTTCTCGTATGCATATTCTGGTAAGCAAACAGACGCATGCGTCGGCTTATCTCACTCACTGACACCGATGCCTGATGCAGTTTGAGCTATAATATATATCAAGTCGCTCATGGGCGCGCTAGTGTTCATTAGACGTGCTTGGGTATCTGCTTGCTATACCATCTACAATGCCTGCTTTATGTAAACGTATAGATCAGACAGACGATACTGTATTTTATCAAAGCTTTGCGGTACGAGTGCTTGATGAAAGGTTTGCGAAGCGCTTGGCGTTCGGGAGCGCCCAAAGAACACTTGCCCTCGAACCTGATGTACCCTTCCCCTCCTTGCACCCAAAATCCTTCTCTTTCCTTGACGTCCACCATCGTGTAGCTGCTTGACGAAATCTCATGTCTCTCGGTGAGTACTTAAGCCAGGACGATCTAGGTGTACCTGTCGAGCAGAGTGGAGCTCGTGAGCGGGATAAGCGATGCAAGGTGTAGCGACTCGAGCGAATCTCCTTTACTCCCTGCAAGCCTATAACAACGCGGATTTGGATGTATTCATGTGCCTCTGTTCCCGCAGGTATTCCGACACAACCACCTATGCAACCTGAAGACACCGCCAGGCAGTCTTCTGCTTCTGCTGCCCTATTACAATCCATGCCTCCCGCAGAGATGCCCTCTACGCAAACGGCACCAACGAGCCCCATTGAACCCACGACAATAACAAACAGTGCCAGCGCGCCAGATGTCATCGTTGCCACCAGGGCTTTGAACGCCGCCTCCATGGTCTTCTCACCATCTGCGGACTACACCATCCTCCAGTCATCTCGCACATCTTCTAATGATGCTCTTCCGAGTACGGTCTCCGGAATAATGGAGGGAAGCAGCGGCACAGCGAGCCCCGCTGAGCCAGATGTACAAATCCTCGAAGCGCTGCGAAGCAAGGATAGACTTTGGGTTCTGAAGTTAGGCGAGAGCATGGAGACACTCATTAATGAACGCAAGCAGTGAGTCTGATTATCTCTTGATGGCATATTCCGTAGCGCGTCATCGCTCGGTCTTCGAATGACTGCGTGCGGAGTCACTTTCGGCATCTAATCATCACCGTCTGCTGTAGGCCACGCATTGAGTTGAACCCTGCAACATCGTACCAGCGAATGTTGGTTCACAAATGCGCCGCCTACCACAGGCTCGTATCCGAAAGCGACAGCTCGAGGTCAATCTTCGTCTCCCTCCGCCCGGATAGCGCCATGTGAGTGTTCAATCGCTGCGGAAGATCGTGTACTGTGCTCACGATAGTTCTCTTAGTCCAGTGCGCAGAATAAGCGATTTAGTACCTCTCGAAGAATCAGCACAGCCTGCGTTTAAAATCATGCGCAGAGTTCCGCAGGACCGTCATGCGCGCCAGACGTCCCAGGCAGGCTCTGTGACAGGCGAAGACGGTGATGTCTCGGATAGCGCTGAGCCTTCTGAGGCAGGCAGCAGCGCAGGGCGCAGCAACACAGCAGGCAGTATTAAAAAGCACTTGACGATGGAAGAGCGAGAAGCCGCCTACAACGAGGCTCGCTCACGCATCTTCATGGACTTCGAGGGGAAGGATAAAGACAAAGACAGCAGCGCGAACTCATCCTCGACTAATCTCGCTTCTGGCTCAAGTCGTAGCAGCCCAGGTGAAGCGGAAGACTCCAGTTCTGCTGCAACGGAGAGCGAGTGGTCTGGACCAGTCACCAGAGACAAGCGAGAGGGTCGACGCGGTGGTTCCACGAATTCGTCGTCACGGTCGCATCGGTCATACAACCACGCAAGCGGTTCAAACAGCTCGCGTCACTCCCGCGCCGCATCCCCATCGCCGTATCCTACGCTATACGACCCCCAAGTGAGCACTTTTGACCCAGGTTTCAGTTCGCAGGGGCCTCCGCAAAGCTACGTCCAATATTACTATGGCTATGCGCCAGCTGCGCCTGGAGCCCCGCCGCCATTCATGCCGCCTTATGGATACGGTTACCCGCCGTACGCGTATCATCCGCAGCCACCATCTCACTCGCATTCCGACCCTGTGACCCCAGGCGAGCCTTTGTACCCTAACGCGCAGTCGCCTGCCAACGCACCATATCCACCCAATCCTTACCTCTGGCCGTCACCTCCTCCGGGGCAATCTTCCGCCCAACCTTCCAAGGTGACTTCTCCTGCTGCGTCTACGGCTTCATTACCCGCCGGAATCCAGCAGAGTCAGCTGTCACCCGCTGCTCAGCCGATGCAACCGCCGAGTACAATGGGTTATCCCGGATACTTCCCTCAGTATCCGCCCTACCCCGTTCCAGGATACTATCCACCACCTTACGCTGTACCTCCGGTACAAATGCCTCCGGCACCGCCTCAAATGCAGGGACAAGGACAGTACTGCCCCGAAGGGACCTATCGAAACGAATATCAAACCCATGGAATTAGTTCAGATTCTGTGGATCACAGCCGCGCATCATCGCGAAATAGCAACGGTCATAGCTCTGTGAATGGACACGGTCGGAGAGCTGGCCCCAATGCGAGGCGCCAGCCGTGGAGCTATGGGCCAGGCATCGGCATGAGCAGTCCCGGCGGCGGCGACTTCGTTGGTCCGCGACTGAACAACCGCAGGACATCATCCAGTAGCGCGGGTTACAGAACTCCCGGGGACGAAACATCGTCTGTCGCCGTGAGTCTGTTCACACGTATATGTGCTATCGATGCTAATCATCTGGTAGTCGTCGTCCACGACATCATCATCCTCGCAGCGTACGTTCACCTCTACCTCTTCAAAGCACCCTCTTCCTGCCAGACCAGACTGGGCCGTTGGCCTGAAGGCGCAGCCTACTCTCTCTGCACGTCACAACGATTCGCGGACAATGTCTCCTGCACGAATAGGCGGCAACTTGCCTCATCACCCACGCTCACACCAGCCGCCTCCGTCGCTGCAGGGCATCGACTTCCCTCCACTGTCCTCTGGCCCTGTGCCAGAAAAGAAACCTCCAGTTGTAGCAGGGGCATGGACTAACGCTTCAAGCGTGCGTTCAGCGTTGCGGGCGGGCCCATCAGGCAGCATAAACTCACCAGCGACAGGGAGTGCGCTTGTGCACTACCCCAACTCCCATGGTGGGACCCGAGGTCCGAGTCCAAACACTTGTCATCTGGACGAGCAGGATCGCGCGTTCGATCGACCGCCGGCGAAGAACGGCACTGAACCATTCAACCCCAAAGGCGGGCGTCCGCAGGCTGCGAATGGTATGGGCGTGGCGGAGGAAGGAAGCACGCCGGACGATTTGGCTGATCGAGTCGAAGGGCTGACCTTGGCTGCGAACAGCGAGATGCTGTTCACTGCTTCCCCTCCTCCAGCGATGCCATCAAGCGATCCGCAGTAAGTTAGCTGGGCGAGAGGATAGCTGAGATCCGGGCTGAGGTGCGTTTCTTGGGTGCATGGAATGCGTTGTAATCAGGTCTCAAGTTTGCCTGCTATCCCTTAAATAATGTCCTGATCGCGGACGGTCTCATCTGCAGTCTCAAAGTCGTATTTGGCTGCCTGTATCGGTATGCCCCATTATTGCTGTGCGCGCGTGTCGTCTGTTGTATTAGCACTCATCGAAGTTCGAAAAACATGGAATATCGCTAGAACCTCGAGCCACGGTTCCCCCCCAAAACCCCGTACTCTAATACACAGTCCAGAGTAATACAACAATGTCCGCAATAATGTCCTAGGCTATGATACTCCGCGGCTCTTTTGCGTGCGTGTTTACCGAGAACGCTTGAACAGCTGCTTCAGCGAGCTCCACCCAACCCGGCGGTGCACGACAAGCGACTCGGAGCTCGCAGACCAGCACGACACCTCGCCCCGTGGCAGGACCTCGCCCGACTCCATCCCCTGGGCATTCATCCCATGCAGCTCGCCCGCGAGTGGGTCCTTTGCAAAGGGGTCTTCCATCACGAGATCTCTGGCAGACAAATTGTAGGGGAGTTCTTCTCCGAGATCGAACGAGCACGCCTTCTGCGCGAGGCTCTCGGGTACAGAGACAGGCGAAGGCGGGGGCGTTTCTGTCTTCCTCGGGTTCTGGCCCCGGAGAAGTGGTCTAGAGAGTGCGCGTCGCAGCCACTTGGTGGGCGACGAAGGTGTGGAAGGCGAGGGTGGGTGACACTCAGAGGTCGCGGAGCTGCTGCGAGAGCGGACGTAAAAAGTTTCTCTGACTGGGGAAGCCTGTTTAGGATGTGAAAAGCTGTAAAGTAGGAGCGTAATGAGGGAATAAACGTACGTAAGGTGTGATGAGCGGAGAACCCGAGGGAGTCGTGAACATTGACGAAGCGTCGTCGGGGCCAAAGAGAATGGAGGAAGTTACGGATGCACAGTCGTCGTCGCTGCTCGACTCGAAGTCGTTACCCCACCGGCCGTAGCTCTCCAACCACTCGACTTCATCCCCATCTGCCCCAACAGGCGGACTGCTGGGCCGCTCGGACTTGGCAGGCTCTTCTGAAAGCTCTTCTGCAGACGCGGCCGTCAGGACAATTCTTGGTACAGCAGCACGCGGCTCCTTTGTTTTGGCAGCGTCCTCGCTTAGATACGCGAGGCGAACGGGCGGCGACTCCGAGACAGATGAAAGGGCAAGCCCCGTAGAACTGCTAGGTGAAGGAGGCTGTGGGTAGGAAGATGAAGAAGAGGGATCGTAGTGGATGTGCACGGCGTGTCTCGATCGTGGCAAAGAAGAGAATCGTGGGGGAGGTCGTGCGAGTCGACGAGTAGGAGGCCTTGGAGGCACGTCGACGTCCATTGCCTTCAAGTCGTGAGTAAGCTTTTCTAGCTGCTTAATGATCTCACAGATATCCCTGTCAGAATCTGACACGGGGAACGTGGGGCTAGTTGGGGAGTTGAAGGGAGTCGCATCAGACCCTCGTGCGGGCCAATGGCTCAACCTACTTGTAGTAACCGTCGGGCTCGGTTGAGAAGTTGTGTCTGAGAAGCCGGCATCAGTACAGGACTCGGTGTGATGCTCGTCGTCAAAGGAGTGTGAGCGAGAATTCAGCGAAGATATCCGCACAGGTAGCTGTGTGTTCGCAAGAGTTAAGCTAGAAGGCGCTTCGGATTTAGCCACGTGGGAATCCTTCCGGATTCTCGGGAATCGTAAAGCAAAAGATGGGACTGGTGAGAAGGAGCGCAATGTGTCCATGAATGAGGGGTCTTCTAGGTCCAGGAAAGACTGGATGTCTCGATGAGTTGTGCATGAGGGCTGCCGAGATATAGGCGAGCTGGAGGAAGCTGAGGGCTGAGACAAGGCGGAAATAGAGTGGTTTGGGAGGAGTGGAAGAATCGCGGATGACGAAACCAGGGAAATCGTTACAGAACAGGGTAACGAGCTATCAAGTGGGATGGACGTGTGCTTGACTTGGTGAGAATGATAAGATTGGCTTGGCAGAACGATTGACTTCTTCAGGTCAGCACACGAAGCCGAACGTTGCACAGGTTTCGCGAAAATGCCCCAGGTCGAAGGTGGCCTCGTTGGAGCAGGGAAGCCAGAAGTTACGGACGCGGGCATCGTGTGCGGGTTTCCGCTGCATGAGTTGCCGTCGCCCATTCTTGTAAGGGCGGACATGGGCATTCGGAACGCCAGTGAGAACAAGGGAAGCTGTCTCGAGGTCGCACAAAAAGCGAGGGTCGCAAGCGGGTGAACACCTGGGGTGGGGGCTGGCTGTTACGAATGTGACTATATTCCTGAGTCGCTTATGAGGATAATGCAGGTTGTGAACACAACCACCGCTACAGCACTCATGACATAGAAATGGGGCCTGTAGAGTGATGAGTACAGTATATATGTGGTTGCGGAGTACGTACTTGACTGCCGTTAGGAACCCTTTCATGTCCTGCATTTCCTGATATCCTCGGCGGTACTCCCATATACCAGCCCCGATAGCCACGACGGCGGCAGCAACTTCAATTGAAGCAAGTGGAATGCGACCTGAGGAATGTGGTGTGTCTCCAGACGGATCAGATGACGATGGCAGACGTGCGTTGAGGAGGATAGATGCAGCCAGCAGCAAGAGCAGTGCCGCGAGACGGAGATGGCTAAGCAGATTTCGCTCGAGCATTGCAAAATCGCGTGCTGCACTGCCAGTGTTCTCGCATAACTGAGGCATTGTGAGCGAAGAGCAAGATGGTATGGATTCTGTGCAGAGCACGAAGCAAAGCGTCGGAGACAGGACACGGCGGCCACAGGCGTTACTTTTCAGATTTCATAGCATCGAAGTTTGATCGAGATGAACATGCGGAGCGTTCCAAGCGTCGCTCTAATATGTACTCCTGAGGCAACTTCCCGTACGCGTGCTATGTAAAAGGCGAAGTACTCCGCGAACCAGAATTAGCCAGGTATTACTAGCATCCCCGAGATAAGCAGAAAAATCACTCGTTTTGACGCAGCTATCGGGGATGGCACAATATAGAAGCCCTGCCTGTCAGTTATCTTTTCAATAAGAAGATTTAATCTGCACTATGTAAATCTCCCTGTTGCCCTGAAATCTGGGGATGCTTGCAGAGGCTCGCCCCAATTCGGAAAGCACGCGCTTGTATCAATCACGTGAGTAATAATCGCGGTGATTGTTTGACGCGTTATTTGGTCCAAGTTCAACTTAGAGCGTTTAGCAATGCGTCACTGCTTTGCTCTTAACGCTTTGCTGGCATTTCCTCACACTCTTTTCCTACGACCGCCTCACGACGGGCTTACTGCCCTCACGACTCAGCACGACGACCACTTGTACCATGGGATTCTTCAAACGGTTTTTCTCTCTTGGAAGCAAGAAGTCGAAGCGTAGGCAGCAGGCTCGTCATGAAGAGCGCGTCGATGTGAGTGGTGGGGTAATTCAGGGCCGCGAGTCGTGGCAACAGGTGGACAAAGAGGCAACATATCTACTACGCTCGTCTTCTGCTCATTTCTCTACGGTCTCAGAGATCGATCACGCGTCATCCCCCCCTCGTGAGTATTTACTTTTGGCTTTGCGTGTCGCTTATTATTCTCATATATGGACTTAGCTCTCCCTCCCAAGAGTGCTGCACACACCCTTGTGCCTGGGCCGGCGAAGCCAGAGTGCAGTACTCAGCGTTATGGGTCGTACACCGTCAAGGTCCTCGAGCGTAAACTTGAGTCGCGAACGGAGTTCCCCAACGCCAATCCCCCACTTACCACTCATGAAGAACCTGATATCCTTCAAGATTCTCCTCTCACCAAGCGTGTTAATCCTTGTCGCATCCCCATTACTCCGAAAGACAAGAATAGGCTGCTGCGCCTGCGCCAGGACCCGTCTGTAGCTAGTCTGCTGAACATGTACGACGACAATGGCCGGATCAATTCGAAGGCATTCTCAAACACGCCACCTCCTTCTCCTCCCTCGGTCGAGTTACCAGGACGAGAGCCAGTCAAGCGCTCTGGATCGACTCTCCGTCAATTACTAGGCGCATCCGAGTCTGGTGAGAACGTTGCAGACGGCGACATTTCCTGGGCTGAGCGATACCTCGGGTAAGCATATCTGATGAGATAAAGTTGTCACCATTACTCATTACTATCTGTAGCGAACATGCAGGTAGCACCCACTCGCTTGCATCTACTGCTCCAGTAGAAACACCTAAAGACACTCTTTCAACACGCAATCCTTCCACTGTCAAGCCCTCCTTTCCAGACTTTACATTCTCTTCCGAAGTATCACAGGATGCGTCGGTCAACTACCCTTTCATCTCCTCCATGGAGGTTGAAGTCAGTGAAAGTACTGACCGCGAACTGCCTTCCGTTATCGAGGAGAGTAGGGTGGAAGACCCTTCCTCCCCGAAGCGCGCTGCCGAGGTCTTCGGCTTTTTACCTCATCGGAGGAGATCTGTCTTGGAGCGGCAGCGTAGCCAATCTGCTCACTCACAATACGCCCTGTCTATTCCGCCTAAGGACGATATTCCCCCTTTGCCTCCTCTTCCTGCAGCTCCTCTTCCGAAACCAGCTACATCTAGCCCCAACACCAGCGATATCTCCATGCCCTCTTTAGCACAAATACACACTGCCACCATCACGAAGCTCACGCCCGCTTTCAATCCGTTGTCCCGCTCTACAGATACCCTGAACCTGTCGTACCCTACTCAATCTTCTGTTTCCCCTCCTCCTATGGAGCGTCCAATATCTCCCAGTATCCTTCAGATTCAAGCTCTCCCCCAACTCACTGGGGATGCACAAACGATCGCTAGCGCTTCAAACTCGAGCAAGATGCTCCGTGGACCACGTCCGCGATCTCAAAACACTTCGAAGACGCGCGGCGAGCCGCCTACCGATCTTCGCATCAAGCACGAACGCACCACCCGCGATGCCACCACGGAGCTCCCTACGCCTGATCCCACGCCAGCAAATCGCTCGCGTATACCGAAGCCGCCATGTGACCCATGCACTCCTATGCCCACTCGCCAACATAAACGTCGTGTCGTGTCGCAATCCTCGAGCATGGGTGGCCACGACGGGGATGAGAACAGCACGCGCATGACACATGCCAAGAAACAGGCGCGTAAGGTCCTGCGTGAAGACAAGGACAAGGAGAACAGCCCACCCGCTGTCCCGCTGCGCACCATCTTCGACAAGCGCCATCCAAATCTTGTACACGGCGAGCCGCCATCACCCGCGTCGTCGACAGAGCTATCGCCGGTTGCGAAGGAGATGATGACGAGCCTCCGGAAGCAACGCATGCGCGCCCGCGAAGAGATGCGCCAACAGCGAAGTGCATCCAAGCAGCGCAATAGGAGGATTTCCAGTGGAAAGTAGAATTCTACCGCCAGATTGTAAGCTCATTTCGATTTCTCTATTATTTTGGTTGGGCCTGTCAAAGAGACAGTCATAGCTTTCTTGGTCTCGTTTAGCTATCGTTATCTATCGAACTAGCTTTCCACCGTGCACTCCCAAGTTTATCCATCCCAGTAGCTAGTTGTTTCGTCGGTCGATACACCTCATTGTGTTATTTATCGCAGCGCATCCCAAGTATCGAGCTACTATTTTTACATCTGCGTCGCCTTTAGCTCTGTGGATTACAGATAATTGGTCCCAGATTGTAGTCACTCGGTTTATCAGAATTAATCAAGTACTATTGTAAGGACAGGATCGAGCGTACGCCCAAAGTAAAGAATATGGATAACTTAGGGATATGGTGGTGGTGTCGTCGTAGTCGTAGGTTGGGTCATAACATGGTGGTTGTACTGCTCTGCATCAAACACCACCTCGGCGTCCTTCGCCTCGCAGTCCAGTGGCGTGTACCCGGCGGCCGCGCGCCTATAACGGACAAGCTCCCGCACACCAAGCGCAACACTGACGACGAATATCATGAAGGCGATGCCGAAAGTGCCCGCGAGGAGCGCGAGGGCAACGGGGCCGAAGGAAGCCGCCATCTGCATCGTGCAGCCTGCGACATAGTGCACGACGCGCATGTGCATCGCGGGGCGCGCCTGGGTGACGACAATGCGCATGCGTGCGGCGCGCTCGTGCGGGAGACGCCGTGCGAGCGTGTTCAGGTTCGCCCGGACGGGAGGCATCGGTTGCCTGCTGACACCGCCGTAGATCGAGAGCGAGCCGGTGCTGTTGGAAGGCGCAGCGAGCTGGGCGTTGTTATTTGCGACCTGCTGCGCGCGAACCTCCGCGAACTCGTTCATGGCATCGCTCGGGACCGTCGTGGAGAGCATTTGGACAAAGGGAACATCGGCAGTGGCGTTATCCGGGGTGAAGTCACCGTAGTCGAAGCTGAGGAGGGTGGTGATTAGCACTGAAGCTTGGAAAAATGTACTTGTGGCGACTCACGAAGTGTAGACATTCTTCAGGAAAGAGTCACCCAAGATGAAGTCGAAGCCAGAGACGGCGCCAGGAGGCAAGTTGATCGGACTGGCAGTGTTCATCAGCACGCTAAACGCGGTCAGCACAAAAAAAGTGCACACCTGTAAGTATTGGTGCAGAAGGTTTCGTTTCCGTTGCTCGAGACAGTGGTGATATCAAGAGGGTGGATCGGAATACTCTGGCCGCCGAACTCGAACACTAGACTAGTCGTGTTCTCGCAAGGAACGTTCCAGGTTCCGCTAGTCGAGTTAAAAGTTGCACCAGGGATGCTGCTATAAATGAAATCCACGGCCGCAGGCGGGATCTGGGAGTTCGTGAAACCCGTGTCGAGGACAACAACCTGCTTGCCGGCATCAATCCCATCGACGTTCGACTGGTTGAATTGGAACTTCTGGCCGTTGACGATCATACTATCCATGATGACGGACCAGCGCGGGGTGTCAGTGATGTTCACCGTCTGCGCAGGCGTGCGGTAGAGCTTCGTTTGGCTTGCAACCTCCTCCAAGCCTTCCACGTACTCGCCGATGGTGAACGCGCCTTCCTCAGGACCATCCTCGTCGTTCGAGCGACCAAGCAGGACGGTGAATAGGTTTGGCGCGGAGGCGTTCTGTGCAAACACGCGCGATATGAAGTTGAGGCCCTGCTGGTTGCCTTCGCCAAAAGCCTCGACGGTCTCGATGAAAACGCTCGAACCGAGGTCAAAGGAAAGACCGAGGATGCCGTTGATGCCGTTGTCAAAGATCGCACCAAAGTCCGTGGCGATCGTGGCGTTCATCATCGCTGCATGCTCACTCAGCAAAGAATCCAGAGCAGTCAATAAATATAATCTTACCTTGCGAGGGGACTGTGTAAGGGCCGAGAGTCGCGTCGGCAAATACAATGGTCCCATTGGCCGCACCAATACCGAACGTCAGGTCAACCTCAATATCGGTCGTATTGGTAAAGCTGAGGGGGGTTGGGGGCAACACCCAGAGATCCGACGAGCCGGTGTCCAACTGGATGGGGAACGTTTGGCCACCAAGTGTGATATTCGTAGCATACTGTATAAATAGTAATTGAGCAAGGGAAGTTAAATTCCGACATGCAGACCTACCACTATATCCCTTGCATTCTCCACATTCTGGGCAATGTGCAGCTTCTGCACATTAATGGCACCACTGTTGTGTTGCTGCTGGCGACGGGCGACGACCGGGAGGTGAAGAGCGTTGGTGATACCGCACAGCGATACAAGAAGGAAGACGAAGAGGGTGTTCATTTCCAGATGAACGAAAAAAAGATTGTAAAAGTAAAAGAGAAGAAAACCGAAGAAAAAAGCGGAGGGGGGTGAACAGAAAGAAAAGAGAAGAGTTCACTGGGAAGCCGTGCTCTCCAGCACCGAAACTTATAACCCATGTCGACTACTTTGATGCCCATCTGGAGGCTGTTCATGACTACGATTTGAAACATCGCAGACCCGGCACAAACGTTGTGGCGCCCTAAACCGGCGGCCGCGCTAAGTAAACATTGCCTTTCCGGGTATGCCAACACTGCCCATCTCACTGCGGCCATCATGTTTCTGTACGCTTCATCGGAGCCTTACATTTGAAACACACAATCCCTGTGCAGGCCAAGTGCACCAATAATGAAGAGCTGATTTTTGCAGACTGGGTATCTTGGCATGTTTTCTTTAATTTCTTTGCAATTTTGCATGTTCAGCCCAAGCGTTGCAAAGCGGGCTGGGCGGTCAACCTCAAGATGTCAGCCGTTTCGGATACGGCTGAGAGACGGTACGCACCGTAGACTGCTCCTACTTACCCTCGTCTGTCTTTACTCCGACTGTGAAACCACATGGATCAGCAACAGGGGAAGACCGGTCGCCTGACATCAACAGTGCCCAGCGACGACTCTAGCGGCTCGCTGAACGTCAACGAAATGTTACGCGCGCACGACTCCAGCAATCTTTTGGCCATCTCATTCTCTTCCCTACCAAGCTCAACTAGCACACATTCCTTTGGCGACATACCGGATTATCCCCATGCTAGATGTTTACCTCTACTCTTCGTCAACCTCACCCAAACGCCCACTTTACTCTGTCCTGGATCGCAGTCGCCCAGTCAGTCATCGAAGGTGATCATATCAGTGCCCACAGCGCCTCGTATGCGGATCATGCTGTTGGAGCCTATCTCTGTGGCTCGGTGGTCGGTAAGTCCCAGGGTTCAACTATCTTGTTTCATAATCACTAAAACGCTGCACAGGAACAAATTGCAGAATTTGCGTCTAACGGTTGCCAAGTCGCAGAGGCAGACGCCATATCCGAGGGATGCCAACCGCCGATTTGGAAGGCTGAAGGATCTCTGTATCCTCCCGAAGACTTTCAAGAGATATTGCAAGAGCGACGTACATCTCGGCGTCCCTCTACATGTGTGGCGACGCGCGCTTTAAAGGAAGAACCATCAATGGCCCAAACTGTCGATACCTCGTGTTATGATCCAAGCGTGGACTCGATGGCTATGAACTGTTCTGCGGAGGCCTTGGACAAGTCTGCACGATCCGTGCGCGTACCTACCATTACGTTATCGAATTCCACCGCGGTTATGCCCATGCCTCTTTCGCTGGAATCTTCTCAATGCATTACCTCTATCGCTGCGCGTCGCGGTTGCAAGGGTCCTGCTCCACTCGAATTACCTGCGCCGAACATCAATCTTTCCGTGAACGGTCTCTATCCTGGGATTCCAACACCCTTTCTTGGCTCTCCAAGTGCTTACAGCCCGAAATTCGAGTTCGCTCAGAATCCCTCCGGGTTTTCCATGAACTTGGCCAGTATGTGTCAAGATCTGCGATCCCGCTGTCCTCCCCTACACCCTCCTTCTCCTCCCCGAGAGGGTCCAGCCACTCCAGTTTCTCCTCTCAGCGACTCGGACTCTTCCGATAACCCTGCATCTGATTCCGATTCGGATGACTGGGCTTTTGCAAAGGATCTTCTGGCCATGCACAGCAAACCAGCGGCTAAGAAATTCTCTGAGGACGGCCACACCACCAAATCTTTGTCTGAAGCATCACTAATAGAAGGCGACCCTTTTTCCCTGGACTCGGCGCCAACTCTTACTAGCTCCCCTCAGAGCGACTGCGATACATCGGAATACTCTGCACTTGCCACACCTGAACAAATTCCAAAAGACTCAGCACATCAACGCCGCCGACGCACTGTCATCATCGAGACGCCTCGCAGCAGCATAAGCGCAAAACCTGCACGTATCACAGTTGATCTTTCCCACTTGGCTGACGACTCTGACGACGCCACACCGCCCATGGCCACCTTTCCTGCGCTTGATGTGTCTCTACCCGTCGAAGTCACCCCATCCCTAGACTTCGTATCTGCGATTCAGAGCACGCCGCACCTTCGACCTATGAGCAACGCAACGATCCGCCCCATCCGCTCGATCCTCAAGACGCGCGAGAAGAAACGCGTCCGATTCTCCCTCATGCCCGGCCAAGGCGGCGACAGCACGGACGACCTCAAATCCGAGTTCGACGACGACGCCCCGGAGAGCCCAGGCAGGGGCCGCGAGCGCGCCGCCACCATCCCGATGTGCCACCGCCCCAGCAGCCCACACCACGCGCGTTTAAGCCTGACGAACGCGTTCAGTACGAACCGCGCGAGCTTCCCAAAGCACCCTGCCGTCAAGTCCCTCAAGCGCAGCACGCAGCAGCCGCCTGATGGTACGCCGACGCCGGCTTCTAAGAGTACGAAGATGCGGCAGAGCCTGCAACTCGTATCCCGCGTTGTGGACAAGAGTGAGGTGGGGCCGCCAAGGAAGCTCGCGGGCCACGTCGCTAGGCGCTCGATGCCTGCCGAGGTCCAGAGATGCCAGGGCAAGCGGTGCTCGCGGAATGAGAACTCTGGAAAGAGATTTAGCGAGGATGTGACGCTCGTGCAGAAGACGTCCAGCCCGCAGAAGAGCCGCATGCCCTTCAGGTCGATTCTTGGCAAGTTCAGAGCTTAGGCCGCAATTGTAGCATTATGCATCGCAGCACAGCATCTTTTACAGTGCTCCTATGTATAATATTATGACCAATATTCATGATGATCCTCAACATAACACGACCAACATGCCATTTAGTTCAACAACGCCCTTCGTGGTCATAAGACGCAATGTACAGCGGCACCGACGAGCTGGCCATTTCACGCCGCGGACGGCCTGCTCTGCAGACGATTCAGCTCATACTCTGTTGAATTCAGCTTTCAGCAGTGGATCAATGTGCCGAGAAGCGGGATACTCACGGATGAGTGGGCAGCTCGCGCCGAATAACCGCAGCGCGGACGTCACCCTGTCCAAGGAGGCCATAACCGGCATAGGATCGTGGCTCGTCATCCATCCCTTCTCCATCTCGCTCAGGCACGCCGCCAGGGTCTCGCCCACAATACCCCATAAGATCTATATGGAACGTTAGCACCGGGCACAGTGTTCGGAACCACGAAACATACTCACGCCACCGATAGTATCGACGAACTGCAGAGACCGCTGGTCGACCTCGCCGAGCAGCGCCGCGGCCTCGAGCGCCGCGCTGATGGCCCTGTCATTGAGTGGCTCTGGTGTGTTGCTCACCTGTCCGGGCAAGGCGCTGTGCATCAAGATGTTGGCGCAGCAGCACATAGTCTTGACCGTGAACAGTCAACGGACGAGGTCCGTGCGTGCAACGGGCGCGAGCGCGAGCGGAGGCAGCGTGTTTATCCACGACTACACGCGGTTGCTAAGCTCTTGGAGGGCAGCTAGTGCGATATCGTCAATGTTCGGTCTCAATTCAAGGAAGTGAGTGGGCTGAGAGGCGTACTACCATAATCGTTCGTGGCACACAGTCGGGCGGTCTTGTTGAAGAAGATTGCTGCCTTGGCTCGTAGTGAGAGAATGCTCTGTTCGGGCTCGTTTGCGTTGTTGGAAGATCTGAGGAACAGCTGTACGGTCTGTGTGCCGCTCGGTGCGGTGGGCATAGGGAACTTAAAATGTGACCTGTCAGATCTCATTCTCGACCAGGTTTGCATAAGCATTCACCTGTTCATATTCATGAATTTCCATCAGCCATGGCGTATCGATCGGGGTGAGCACAGAACTCTCGTCCAGCAGGGCGGAGGGGGTGTGCGTTCATAACGTCCAGATTTGGTCCAGGATGTACACTGACCAGAATGCGCGGATACGTTCGCCTTGCTCGATGTCATCTATAGGGGGCAGGAGCACGATGGCAGCTCGAGTACTATCGAACGCGTGTATGCTCCCGATCTTGTGCAAGTTGCATGCCACAACGATGGATATCGCCGCCGAGATGTGGTAGCTCGCGGCAAAGCGCCTATTCTGGTGTAGTAGATAGATTGCAATGGGAATCTCAGCCTGGAGGGTATACAAGAAGAAGCACAGAGAACATCAGTGCGGGCGGGCGAAAGGCTGGTCGGCGGCATAGACATCTTCATCTTGTCTAAAAATCTTGGGACATGGAAGAAAAAGCCTAGGTGTGGGGCGACGGTGAAGAAGGGTTGTAGTCTATAGATAAGAGTTAGAAAGTTCAAAAATGAAGAGAACAAAGCTGCTAACAATTCGGGAGAGTCGGGGAAGGGAGTATTCCGCGAGGGCTTATTAGCGGCTCGAGGGGGTATGGCTCAGCTGGATATATGGGACCGGAAGTGGAGAGTGATGTAGGTATCAGGGCGTCCGCTTTCTTCGTGGTGATCTTGTTAGTTTTGGAAGTGCTAGGTCCCGAATATGGAGCCCGCAGTGATACAGGATCTGCAGGACGTCCTTTGAGGATCTCGACGATGCGTGCTTCTAATTCAGCGATGTTTCGCTCGAGAATCTGTGAAGTGGTCGGGCCCGCATCAGAATACTCGCAGTCCGCGGCGATGTTCGCTTTCGTGCACTGAGTGCAGGTAGGCCGAACACCGTCACATCGCTAGATGCATGGTAAGTGTCTTGAGAACCACGAGACAGAGAGTATCGCGAACCATCTTTCGCTTCCTAATCAGTCAAAGCCGGCAATTTCAGAATTAGTCAGCGCAATGGCGTAGCAAGGTGCTGGTGGGCTACCTGCATCTGAGGTAAGCCTTGCCTCTTTCGAGCGTTTGAGGCGGTAGAGACGGAGCAGGAGGCATGGCTGTCCGTTCAGAGACCCTGAGTTTGGGTGGTACTGGGTGGTCTGCTACCCGACCTGGAGGACGGAGATTTATAAAGCATGACACAGCAATGTCCTCCGCCGGCAGCCTGAAGCATGCATGCAAGCTCATTTCCGCTTACTGCCTGAGAACTCGGGTTTGACGGACACAGCAGTGTGCATGTGACCAACGTAACTGAACATTATTGTATGTAGATCAGGATCTGCGTGCTTACGACCTGGGCTCAAGAGTAGCATCGGTACCCTAATTTTTGAACAAGGCGACCATCAGAGCAGAAGGTCCGCAGAATTACCTCGTATCGAGCTGCCTCTTGAGAAGTTAACCTGCTTGTTCAGTAGTATTTCGCTTGTACTCTAGAATCCAGCTTAACACTGCGGGCAATCAAGGCTTGAATAAATCGAATATAATAAACGTCTACGTGAATGCTATCAGTCCGAGCTGCACCGCTATAGCATTCTGTCCTACGACGTCTTGGTAAGGATTTGGGTCCTAACGTATGGAGTGAGAGTCCATAAATATCCGGATATGCTACAGTACTGTGACGGGGATCGTCCAATAAATACTAGGAGATTGTCTTAAGAGGCAAAGCAAGCACTCTGACCGAGACCTAAATGGCCCTCTTGAGCCGACTCACTAGAACGCATGTATAGTCAATTCCACACGGGCAATACAAGTTGTTGCAGACGCACCGAACAAGGGAGAGTTGGCTGCAAACATGCTAAGGATCCTCTTGAGCGTGTCCAGGCCGAGGAGAAGCGCGTCTTCGTTTGGCATGCCGGTAGCATTTGGAGGGCTGCGCATTGTGCGTGACGCCGACATAAGAATCTCATGGGCAGCGGAAGCGGTTATCTTAGGATGTGCAAGATTATTCGAGAAGATCCTTAAGGCATCTGGGCGACCACGTACTGCAAGTATCGGGTTGACGAACGCAAGGTCCTCAGACCGGACAGCCTGAAAGATGTTTACAATAGCGTGTGCAGCCATCAGGCACCGCGAGCGGGAAGTCTTGCTCCGGCGGGCAGAACCTTTATGCAAGGCGATAGTCGCGCACTGTGCCAATGTATGAATGACCAGGAGGTCGTGTCGGATTTCTTCCGGGGCAGTGTCCGTCTGTCCCAGGACGGGAATGCCCTGCTTGAAGTACTCGATGGATGCATCCAAGTTGGCCATCACATTGTTGGCATCAGACGTAGCTGTCAGACCACGGATGAGTGGCAAATCATGAAAATGAGAGACATGAGTACCGGTAGCGTTCCCCACGAGAAACGAGGCTACATGAGCAGCCCTTTCGTATAGCACGGCCGCCTTGGCATATAAGGCAAGAGGCTGGTTCGTCCGGTCGCTTCTGGGATCAGCCAAGAACAGCTGTACAGATCGTCCATAAGATGACTGGGCGCCTTGCTTCCCGGAGGGTAAGTCATTCCGAAGCTCTCGGCTTGATGACGAAGTGCATAGCTCACCGGATCGCGGGGCCAGGGAGTGTCAATGACATTTTCAGGCTCACGCTCTGTAATCAGCGAAAGCGTGTCCAGCGCAGTCGTCCAAGACTTCTCTAGGGCAAACAACTGCCACCATGCGTTAACCCGCATCTGTTCATCGGTGGAGTCGAGAGGCGGCGGGAGAAGCGCATTGGACGCATGGCGCCCAGGTCCAAACTTGTGTAGCTTACACGAACGGGCCAGCGACAAGGCTCCGCTCACGTGTTGCTGGCCTTCGAGGAGCCTGTCGCAGTCGAAGAAGTAATAAGCCAAGAGAATTTCCGCCTGCAGGGCATGCACAATGTCGGTCTGATTGGACAGTTCCTGCTGAAGGGACCGTAGCGTGCGTTGGAGGAACGCGTCTTCGTAGTCGACCTGGCGAATGATATGGATGCCCCACAAGTATACGACATAGCGAAGCACCGCGGGGATACGATCTCCGGTGTTCGCGCTACCGGTGACGCTTCGAACGAATCTTGGCTTGTCTAAGAAGAACCCAAACTTCGAAGCATGAGGTAAGAAGGCTAAAATTCTGTACGTGTATCAGCTACGATGACTTTGGAGTACTGCGATAGCTACGCACAAAGTCTGGGCAACGTTGCGCGGCGGGTCGGCAGGTTCCCACCAACTGGCGGGAAACATGGAGGGAGATGATAACACTTCTGGCAACCTAACCCCGCGCAGCTCGAGGTCGCGGATCTGGCTCTCGAGACGTTTGATTTCTTGCTCAAGCATGCGAGAATTCGAGGGTGCCGGCCCCGGAACAAAAACACATTCGTTCTCCCTGCTGAAGCGGACGCATTGACGACAAACGGGATGGTTGCCGTCACATTTCTAGCGGTTCGTTTGTTAGTATTGGCGACGAAGAGCGAGTTAAAAAAATAACCACCATTTTCCTAGACCTGGTGTAGACTGTGAGCACACCGTCGCATACATTGAAGGGCAGAAGCTAAAGACCGACTCACCGACATGCCTGGCAAGCCCAACCCCTTGGGAGATGACTTGGAACTTCCTCTTGGCTCATTTCTCTGTGGTCAGTTTCTTGCTGAGGCATAGCGAGCTGGCGGCCTTGACATATATATCAGCAGCGTCTTTCCAACTGGAGAACGGATCTCTACCTTCGTGCCCTGCCATGAGCCTTGTAGTCCCACACTCAGCTCGCCTCGGCCACCCAACGGCCTGGCGTGTGACATTTTTCTGTGCCTTCACGTCGGCCGCGCAGTCTATTGAGCTCGCAGCGCCGTTTAGCGACGGCCCTACTCTCGGTGTTCGTACCAGAAAGGCCGTAGAACGCAAAGCGCGAGTGGCAAAGAAAGCGGAAGATCCGAGGACTTAGCACATTGGCAGAATTTGCCGAGCTTAGACTCCCGAAACATCGTACTTCCGTCATGCGCAAGCTTGGGCTGGCAGGCTCACAACTCACGGGAGAAGAGCTGTTTGAGGATGTCAGCAAACCTGCATGAACGCTACAAGAAACCAAACCATACGAAGTAAGCGTGCGCAACGGATCAGGCAAAAGCTGTCGGACACCTCACTTCGTTTCGAATTGTGCGCACTGGCAATCGAAGGTAATAAGCTACAAACTTTGAGGCAAAGCAAACACTGATCGGTCACGGACATCTGAAGCCGCGGATAAACTCTGTCATCGTTGGATAGCATCAATGTCGCCTAGTTTACCCCGGGATGTCAGCAGTCATTTTCTTTCGAGTTAAGCAACCACCAGCATACAGCTGAGCAATCTGTCGCCACTGCCTCTTGGCTTAGCCGGACATAATGGATATAGCACTTTGTGGTCAGGGCTCGTATGCGCGGTTGGACAGCCAGACATCTCGAATTTCGTGATGCGACAATATTACCGTCAACATTTACACCGCCGACGTCGCTGTGTACGGTGCGGCGACGACTGTCGGATCCGGGATTCTAGGAACTAACAACGTAGTGCCTCGCATTCACGCAAAGGGTTTCGCACGACCACAGCCCTGTTCGACGAATGAGCTCAACAACCGTACACGTCACGCTGCAACATACCAGTCCAGGGGCGCATCAAGCAAAGCGAGTTCCACAGTACTGCGACTCAACACAGGAGCTACCCTGTGAGCTATGCAATAAAACAATCGAGACCGCCGCCGCTTGATGACACTAAATCATCGATCGCGCACCGTGATAGTTCTTGGTGGAACTGCGGCAACTGTCCGCGTACTGGGCGCTGAGTGAACGTTGAACAACACGCAGATGGGATCAAATGTGCCGTTGCTGCCTTGAAAACTGCGATCCGCGGCTGTTTCGCGTAAATTAATTCTAGCCTGGCATGAAAGACGAGAGCAAACGCGCCCTCGATAACCAGCAACACCGCTCTCAGAGAGATACGCCTTACGGAGTACCATTGAGAGAACTCCCCGAGCACTCCCCGACGTTATGTGAGGCATGAACGACGAGGGTTAATCTCCGGATTGCAGGACATACAATAGTCTAGCGGAAAGGACGAAAATACAAAGTCAGGATGAAGGCACAAGGATTCAGACACCGAAGAACTGACCCTAAACTACATCACGTGAGATCTCACTTACCGTGTCTGTGCGCGCTCGCGTCGCGACAGCCTTTCTGGACCAAACCAAGGCGCGAAGCTTTGCCTTAGTTTTTGCTCAAATTCTTGCACTCGATAACTGTTGGAAAATGTCTCAAGCATCCGGCAAGCAGGTCATGTCGGGCCTGAGGACCGTTAAACGCGACTTTTCTTCGAATTCTGTAACATCTGGCAGCCAAACGACGGACTCAGGAGAGTCTTCGCGTCAACAGAAGTTGACCGCATCAGAAATGCGGCTGAAGCTCATACAAGAAGCTCTGAACGGCACATCCGCTCGGGAGGAGAAGAAGCAGCCGTTCTCGGGGTCTAGTCAAACGACAACGAGTGGCTCAAACCCCGCCGGTTTGAAGCGGCCTTCGCCCACCGACAACCAGCCGGGCGGAAGAAAAGGCAGCTGCCTTCATCCTGGAATACGTCGTTCGACTCCCAATCGGCCAGCATAGCCTCGTATTCCAGCACGCGGGCCTTGTCTGTATCCGCCACGGTCAACAGCGCGTCAAAGACGACTATAACCGTCGCTTCGACTACCCAGCCTTCAACTACGGCAGCTGGCGTCTCTGGTGTCTTCCTGAGTCAAGAACAGACGCATATATTGAAGCTAGTGGAAGCCGGAGAGAGTTTATTCTACACGGGAAGTGCTGGTGAGTTCGCGTGCCATTCTGTCTTATTGAGGCTGTCGAGCGCGTCTTTACGCTGTCTCTGATCTTTTCCCTCTCAGGTACGGGAAAGTCTGTGCTCCTGAGAGAAATTATAAGAGTACTTCGCAAACGTTACTCTAAAACCGGCGATGCTGTCGCGGTTACGGCGTCAACTGGTACGCGCCTCCGGCTCTCGAGGAATTATGCTAACGGCGCATATATGCAGGTATTGCTGCATGCAACATCGGAGGTGTGACGATACACTCCTTTGCGGGTGTAGGAATTGGCGTCGATTCTGCAGAGCAGCTCACAACAAGGATACGCAAGAATAAGAAGGCAATGTCGAGATGGCTCAGGACGAAGGTACTCATTATTGATGAAGGTCAGTTCCGGCTTAGTCTATTATTGTGCTGAGATCATCCATAAACTTCCGTTATCTGCAGTTTCCATGGTTGACGGGGATCTCTTCGACAAGCTCGCTCAAATCGGGAGCGCTCTTCGAAGAGATTCAAGACCTTTTGGTGGGATCCAAGTACGTCCTCCAGAAATGATACTAGAGGCGCATGCTCAGATATATTGGCCATGATAGGTGATAGTCACTGGAGATTTCTTTCAACTGCCACCGGTAACTAGAGGTACTGACCCGAAGTTCGCGTTTGAAGCGGAATACTGGAAGAAGGCAGTTAAGAAAACCTTCAATCTGACCAGAGTTTTCCGGCAGAGGGATCCTGGTGAGATGTTCCCGCATAAGCTGCGATTCAGTGCCTGACGTATTGGCGGACTCTGGCTGAACAGAATTTGTCGACATGTTGAACGAGATGCGGTTTGGGCGACTCTCAAACCGTTCGGTCGGAAAGTTCAGGAGCCTGTCTCGGCCGATAGGGTACGATGACGGCGTCAGCGCTACGGAATTGTAAGTCCCCTCTCTGCTCAGCAACAAAGCTCTATTCACTAACCCTGTGCAGATTCCCTCGTAGAGAAGATGTTGAAAGGTCCAATAGCACGCGCATGGGAACCTTGAATACTGAGACTCACGTGTACTCCGCATCACATGGGGGCAAACTGTTCGGCACGGAACAGGGCGAGAAGCTGCTTGCGAACTTCATGGCACCCGGTCAGCTAACACTGAAGGTTGGTGCACAAGTGCGTAACTCTCCATTCTCCATCTGCAATCTCCGACCCGTTGTTGACATTTTCTTCCCGCGAAGGTCATGTTGATCAAGAACATGGACGAGCTGAACGTCAACGGTAGCATGGGTACCATTCTTGAGTTTGTCGAACCGAGCCAGTATATGCAAAACCCGGATGACCCGTATACCGTCGATACGAAGCCGGGATCGAAGCCGAACTCGGCCGCTCCTGCCAAGGACACGAAAAAGAGCGCGGCTATCGCCCAGAAGTGGCCTGTCGTCGAGTTCACAAATCCCAAGCGCAGGTTACTCATTCAGCCTGAGGCATGGAAAGTCGAGCTGCCCGACGGAGAGGTGCAGATTAGCAGGACTCAAGTGAGGCTTTCCTGGTGCTTGTTGTGGGCGCTCCTTCTCCATGCTCACTGCATACATACATCTCAGCTCCCTCTTATCCTGGCCTGGGCAATGTCTATCCACAAATCGCAGGGACAAACGCTCGAGCGCGTCAAAGTTGACCTCGGCCGCATCTTCGAGAAAGGTATGTCTCCTTTTCGGTGACTTTGTTCGCATATAATGTCCGATCAACAGGCCAGGCGTACGTTGCGCTTTCCCGAGCGACATCTCTAGAAGGGCTGCAGGTGCTCAATTTCGACCCTGTGAAGGTTAGTGACATCTCCATTCTGCGCCGATATGCAGCCACTAAACCTCGCGCTAGGTGAAGGCACACCCGAAAGTCATCGACTGGAGCAAGACGTTGGAGGTCATCCCGATCTGATAGGGCTTCCGTGCATGCTACATCACAGATCGGATGGAATGCATACTGTCAATGTTCGATGTAATGGTACCTATCAAGTACAATAATAAGATACTTCGTCCCGCCGATGTAATGCGCGTGCCTGCGTAACTGCGCAACATCGCCCGAACCTGCCCGACCGTGCCCGCTGCGACTGTCGGTCGCCAAGCTGACACGGAATTTACGTATCACAGCGTCTTCGCCGCCTCACTTGCCCCGCAACGCAGGAGATGTCATGAGAAACTCGTTGACTCGCTTCAGCGTCGCCCTGGCAGGATTGGCTTGTGGCCGACTGGTAATAATCCACTGCAGGCGCGTGCTGATAGATTTCTTGTCGATAGCTGTATCACCCCGGGGGTAACTCCGTCAGGCACCCTTGGGACTTCTGATAGAGCAACAGGTGAACATACCTGTGCCACCCCTGTCCTCTGGCCGCAGGAACTGCCCGGCGTTGTCGAAGAACAGCTGGAGAACGATCAGCGCGATGCCAACACTGGCATCCTTCCCACTGTCACAGCATATACACACGGCTTTCCCGCGCGACAACTGCAAGTCTACAAACGGCATCGCGCGCGGGAGCACGCTCTCCAAGAATAATTTCTGGCCGCGCTTCCCCTGTGGCAGCTGCAGTCTAAGTAGATCATCCCTGGGGGCTGGTTCAACGGCCTGTGTTGCCGGCTCCTCTGATATCAACACGTAAGAGATGCCGTCTGCGCTGTCCGTGAGGCTGTGCGGCAGGGGCAGTGGCAGATCTGATAGCTTTCCTACCAACAGCGTTCCTTGCACCTTCGCGATCTTTGTGGGGCCTGCTGTGCATCGGCCGTCGCCGTACCTTTCGGCGCGTTGTGCGACGAGGTCTCCTATCAGGCCGGGGAGCGAGAATCGATCCGTGTTGAGGATCCGGTCTCTGTTCCGCCAGAACATATCCGGTGTGAGACCCTTGAGGCCCGACATGAGCGGTGCTTCACACAGATGTCATCAAGAATGCTTGCCTGGCCCCACAGTTCGTGATCATCTCCCGAGCCTTGGATGTACGAGAAGCCGTTTGACCGTCTCTCGAAGCCTTCTTCTATCTGCTTCGAGGCCGAGATGCAAACGACAGGGTAAAACGTTCCGTCGGACAGTGGTGGTAGATGGGGATACAAAGACGTCGAGGGGGTGACCCAGAGTGGTCGCAGGGAGTGAGTTAGGTTAGGAAGGTCGTAAGAGGAGTTCTAGAGGTCGTGCCATGAGTCAACTGCAGTCACAATTAACCAACCCACACCCACGGTTAGCAATCTAGCCCAATCATCCAACTGTGTTTCAATCTGGGCATGTTCTTGACGGCTGACCGCAGCCGGTGACGTGAACAAAGACACGTCCCACTCGTCACCTTTTCCATGGCGCATACACATAGCACGATTCACAACAGCACACCATATAGGCACCGTTTTTGACAGCGCATCTGGCATTCGTTTGCCAGAACGTGTCGAATCTACCAAGAGCAGGCTGGTTACTCCTCAACCCGTCCAGGCGATTGAAATATCGGCTGGAGACTCACCCGCCGTGCTGCACGATGAACGGCAGTAGATGAACATTGGGCCTCCGGAGGTTGAAGGTCCAATTATTGAAGTGGCCGTCCGTCGACTTGAAGTATGCTACTTCTCCACTGGCCTAGCGTGCAGCTGTGAGCAGCAGTATTGAAAGCCTGGCGAGGTGGGCTCACGATCGTTGGATCGACATACCACGCTCCACAGCGCAGATTCGCTGCGTTTCAAATGAATCTTCTGCTCGCAACCTTTTCGATGGTATGCGACTTACGAACCACGGGCAGGTCAGGGTACGCTCTGCAGGCCGCCTTCACGAACTCGCAATCTTCTGCGATAGAGTGCACACGATTATAAATGTCAAGCGACTCTCTCCGCAGATATGCGAGTGCTTCGCTCTTGACGTTCGGATCTTCCGCAGTCATCGAGGAAAGTACCTGCGCTCTGACTTCTCAGGCTATGAGCCTGACGGAGAATGGTCGTGGAAGGAACGGGATGATATAAAATTTTTGGCCAATCAGAACTGGAGTAAGAAACTTCGTGGCGTTCGGCTCTCCGGCATGCTACCGTTAGCACCCTTCACCGGGAGGAAACACGCACACCATCGTTGGCACGCTGGGTGTTTCCCCAAATACTGCCATAGAGTCCCACGAAAGCACTCAGTCTTTTTATATTTCTACCCGTAATGAAACAATTATCTGTGCGAGCTGTACTCTATGTCGGTAAAGATGTTGCTGCGTTGAGATCTGCATGCAGGCCGCGCGGTCTATGTAATCAATTTGTGACAATAACTGTAGAGAGAGCGGGTCCGAGTCGTTAAGAGGAATGCTGTGTTTTACACAAGGAGGGCGCAATGTAAGCGACAACATGCACAGAGAGGAGAGACAGAGGGTGCGAACGGAAGAGGCAGATACTAAGATGAGTCAGCCAGTCAGAAGATGATAGAGCAACACGAGGTCAGAAGTCCACAAAATGAATGGGAAGAGGTCGTGACCGGTGTATAGGGGCGCGCACAACGCGATGACGAAGGAATGTAGGTAAGGGAAGGCGCGTCAAGGACACCAAGAGTTTACTTGGACTTTGCGATTTCCCGCGCCGCCTTGATGAGAGGAGAGAGCGTGCGCAATGGCTCCGACATCTTGAAGAATGAGTGCTAAAGACAACAGTGTCAGACTCCATCAAGACACAGATCGATACAGTAACTCACCTGCAGGAGCTCTGAAGCTGATGGTCGCTTCTCCGCATCCACCTCAAGTGTCTTCGCGAGATAATCTCTGAATGTACTCGACAGTGATTCAGGGTTCGCAATCGTGGGCGTGCCGTTAGTCGCAATGAGATACAACGCCTTTAGAGGATTCTGATTGAGGTATGGCGGTTCACCCTCGATCATCTCTGCACGCAGTTTTGATTAGTTGAATGGCGGGGGTCTCGGGGCGAAACCATACCGATCGCCATGATACCTAAACTCCAGATGTCGACCTTAGGTCCGTACTCTTTCCGAGTGACAACTTCGGGAGCCATCCAGTATGGTGTGCCTACCATGGTTGTCCGCTTTGCGCCATCCGAAATCTGGGCACAGAAACCGAAGTCGGCTGCAGACACTATGAGCCTCCGATGAGTCTCTACAACAAGTATAGAAATACTTACTTAGTTTGATGTCCCCGTTCATCGAGAGCAGGACGTTGTCGCTCTTGATGTCACGGTGGATGACACCATGCCGGTGCAGGTGCTCGAGGCCTTGACATGTCTCGCGTGAGACGGCAGCAATCTGGCCTTCTGACATCAAGTTGGCAGTGACGACGTCTGTCAGGGAACCGCCCTCCATGTACTCCATGACTACCCAGAGCTCGTTCTTGTGCAGGAACGAGTCGATGTAGTTGACAATATTTGGATGCCGCGACGCGCGCATGACGAGAATCTCGTTGATGATGAGGTCCTTCTTCGGCTGCTTGTCCAAATCCATCTGCTTGATGGCGACAGATAGATTGGTGCCGACTTGGTATGCTGTGTACACACCACCAGAGGCACTGATTACGGGAAATAAGACTTCTTTGGGGAAACTAGAACCACGGAAGCATGTACTCACCCTGCACCAATCTTCACCAGGTTGCGGTACAGCTTGGTGGGATCAGCGTCTGTACATATCACCTGCAGCCGCTTGACGATATCCGCCTCCTTGTCCTTGTCGCCCTTCTTCTCCTTCCGTGGCCGAGGCGTTGCTACGCCAGCCGCGGCAGCTTTTTGCAAGCTTGCAGTGGCAGGACTCGGCTGAGCTGGCTGCTGCTGCCTTCGCTCCCGATCCGCTGCGCCTGGCGACGACCTCTCAGCTCCCGGGTCCGACTTCGACGGCTTCGGTGATTGCCCGTTCGAGTGTCCGTGCCCATTGTGAGTGGGCCCAGGGCCCGGAGAACGCCGATCACGCGTCGTGCTGGTCGTGTTCGCGCGGGCGAGCTGGTCCGGCGTCTTCGGCGGCTTGTGCTGTGGGAGGCGTTGTGATGTCGAGCGGTCAAGCGTCGGCGTGAGCGGAGAAGGAACAGGGGGAGCAGGACGGTACGACGACAGTGATGGCGCCTGAGATGGCAGCTGTGACTTTGCTGGCTGCTTTGGAGGGGGAGGCGCAGCACGCTTGATGCAAAGCGTCAGCTGCGCAGAAGCCGACCAAAAGCGATCAGTACTCACCGGGTTCTGGAAATTCTCGTCTGCGTAGCCACGAGGTTGCGGCTGGCTGGGCGCTGTCACCGTCTGGGGGGCAGGTATCGCGCCCATCTTGTCCCAAACAGATCCCTCGCCACGTCCCTCCTGGTAGAATTTGACAATTTCCATGACCGCTTGCGGGTTTTTCTCCTGCTCCAACTTGGAGATGCCGCTTTCCTGAAGGAGCTGTTGCCATTCCTTCGGAAGACCGGTGAACTCACCGGTAGAAGAATTGAAGCCGACGTGCGTGAGGTGGACAGGATCGTACGGCGTACTGATCTCAAGGCGCTTGGAGCTATTGAGGAGATCGGACATGAAGTTAAACATGCCCTTCTTGGACTTTGTCGCCGTCGTGCTGCTGCGAGAGCGTATGCCCGATGCAGTCTGTGACAGGATGGAAGAGGTATCAGGCATGGGGGGAGGTGGGGGTACGCTCAGTGGTTCCGGTGAATCCGAGTGTGGATGGTTTGGAGTGTGAGGAGACATTACAGGATCCGAGAGGCGATTTCTAGACAAGGAACCCTGGGTAGGGAAGATGTCGTTCAATGTCGCCGTGTTCGCGCGAGAGGGGCGCGGAGGCGGGGCGGTACCAGTAGCCATGGGCGAGCTGGTCGCGGCGAAAGGATCCGTGTCTATGTTGGCCTTGGCAGTGCTGTGTTTCCGGACAGGCTGGGGCTTGTGCAGCGAATTGCGCGATTTAGGAGACGAGTTTGACTGTGTCGGCGATGAGATTTTGGAGGTAGTAGCAGGAGACGGCGGAGGCGGAGCCTGCCTCGAGGGAATAAATGGGTCTTGGTAGCTATCAGCAGCCGCGGCGTGATAGTTAGCTTGGGCTAGGAGATCGTTGTATTCCTGGATAGACTCCCTCGAAGGGCGGTGGTACTCGACGGTAATCCTAGAGTGGCGAGTGTTTGAATGTACGGCTCTCTGGTTGACGGCGCTTTGCGACGAGGACATCCCAAAAGGATTGGAGGGCGAGTCAAAAGATGTGGACGTCAGCTGGAAGTGTTTCTGGTACTGATATTGACCTGGCAAGTGGTGTCCGTGAGGCTTGACGGTGTGGGTGAAACAAGGCGAGCACGTTTCCGTTGGCAACGATCTCAATCGTGATCAGGACAGCCCTGAGATGAGATTATACGACCCAGACGTAAAGAAAGTGGTGATACTGTCGTGGCCGGCAGTGAGGAGGGACGTAGCAGAGGTATAGGAGGGCGTGCTCGTCGCACTCGCCGATGAGGTCGAGGTCAAAGTTGTCAAGTGCTACTGTTGTCGTTGCACGCTTAAACGAGACGTTGCCAAACTGAGCCGATCGATCTTATGTAAGCTGTGAATATGAAAAACCCCCCGAAATTGGAGCCCGAGACATATTTCTTCGAGGACCCGGCCACGGAGAACTTTCAGATAGCCTTTACAACGCATGCAGATCTCTCTAAAACGCTCTATAGATACCGCGAGGTTGCGGACATTTGCATCTGATGTGACCGCACACAGCGTGAGGAGGCACTCTGAGTCTGTTCTTTGTGCAATATAAGGCGAAAAATCTCAGGATATGTTCAAGTATCCCTAGCTCACTCCAACGATCCCACAAAGTATATAAGTGCGTTAAAATTAGCATGCCTACGCAAGGGTCGCGAAGGCGACAAGGTCGATCTCGTGATTGACATGTTACGCGCATAATTATCGTGACAGCCATGTTGGGCGTGACCGTCTCTTGGACGCGAACCACGTCGTGCCCGCATTTTCGTCCCTTTTCTCTGACCAGCTCACAAACAATATTGACGGAGCATGCAAGCAAGCCTGGACGCACTGTCCCTGAAACGTACAGTTTTCACTTCTTCGAAGACACTCGCCACTCTGAGTCCACGGCGCAGATCTGACGCGAGCTTTGACATGCCTCTCAAAATACGGAGATGATATGGTGGTCTACGCAACGCGCCAGCATCTGGCCCTATCCGCCACGAACTCGTCCTTGTCCGCATACTGTCGTTTCAAATACAGCCGACAGTTCTTTTCACGCTATACTGTGCAGGAAGAGCCCAATTGGGACGCGAAGGACGATACGATTAGGGTGTCTGGGCAGCTACTGGTCAAGGTAAGCACGCGCCATCTATAAGCATCCAAGCCAATGCATATCGATACGCATATAGTCACTGCTTTCTATCCTGAAACCTGCAACCGCCGCAAAGTCAGTCGAACGCTGCGAACTGACCTTTGTAGAGGGCGGTGCGGCTCAACAATTGGATGCAGAGGAGGGAGATAGCCTTGAAAGCAGACTGATTGTGCGTCTATACTGCAAACACGGTAATTCCGCGTCCTGAGCCTGCCATCCCTTTGTTCCGGCTCGTGGATGCCCTCTGACTTTGGTGCCGCATCTGCAGGAGTAGTGAAAACCCATCGGCTATTATTGAACGACGCAGCGAATCTGATGGTCCCAGGCTTATCAAATTCTCCGCAGGAGTCGAAGTTGAGTGTAGGTGCAAGATCGCTCAAGGACCTCCTAGACCACTTTCCGATAGCGAAGGGACCGAAGAGCGACCCTCAGATCATATGGGTTTTCAACGATGATGAAGTTATCCTGAAAGGACTGGAGTCATCGCTTGATACAAGTGGTGAGTTGTGCTGTCGATTAACTACGTAACGTGTTCACCATATGTGCGCAGTAAAGGGTCAGCTCGCTACCGAGCTTTCAGTCAGCCCGGCCGAATTCGACGTTTACGATGTATATGAACCACCGTTAACAGTTGGCCTCCACCTGAGAGAGTTCATGGTATGTGTGCCACTACAGTACGTCTCGATCTGAGTGGCGATAGGAGAATCAGGGACCACCATTCGCGGATTCCCCGACATGAAATGTCTGCCGGTAAGCGACGGACAAACTGGATCTGCGAGGTACACGATTGCCGCAGTCCGGACGTCATTGTCACCGCAGCCCTTACGCCAAGACATGTTGCTTGATTTGGTATCAGCCAGAGCCCGTGCGCTAATTGTAATCCTTTTTGTATGCAGGCTACGATAATGTTCGCCGAATCACTCGCATTAAACCTCGACTTGCGCTTCACAGAGCCGGCCGCTCCGCTTTTCATCGATATCGACGGCGATCTCTCCGAGACCCTCTTCGTCATCTCCACGAACCAAGTGCGCGAGGAGGACATCCCCTCGGGGGTACAGCCGCGCGTGCACGCGCCGAGCCGCGAAGAGAGCATGCAGCCGCGCGGCAGAAAACGCGAGCTCGAGTCCGCCGAGCCCGAGGCGCATGGGCACGACGAGGCAGGGGTGCACGCGCGAGGCACCGTCACGCCGAGCAGCGCGCGCAAGAAGCCGCAGAAGGTCGTCGTGCACGCGGACCGCGACTCTGTCGCGCGTGAGCTGCAGGGGAGCCAGTGCAGATCTTCGGTCGTGCGCTCGATGCCGCCGCCGTCGCTGCCCCCGCACAGCATGAACCCGCTCGCGCCACCGCAAGTGGAGCGCGAGCCGCTTTTCTTGCCTGGGTCGCAGGTGGAGCGCGAGCCGCTGTTCTTGCCCGGGTCGCAGGTGCCGCTGTCGCAGGCCGCCGAGGCCGCGATACGCGCGTCGGGCCTGGGCATCGAGAACATGACGGTGGACGAGTTTGCGGCGATGATGGAGGACGAGGGCGAGGAGGTCGGCGCCGGGGCACCCGCGGAAGACGCTCAAGATGCAGAGATGGGGGAGGAGCGCGACGAGCTGGAGGATGAAATCATGCGCGAGAGCAGCTTCGACCTGTATGAAGACACGCACACGGAGTTCGCGCCTACGCAGGGGGACGTGAGTGCAAAGGTACGCATCTCTTACTGGCATAACGTGTGTTAGCTGACAGCGATACGTAGACGTTCAGACCTTTATTTGACGATTAGTCTATTTCTGGTTGCCCGTTGCTTTGCTGGACATGACGTTCGGCGGCTATACGGCAACACACGTACCGAGGTGTACGCCCCATGAGCTTTTTGACAAGCAAAGCCAGTTCACACTGGTGGTGGGGCCTGAGTAGTCTTCATAGTCTTACACGCAGGCATCGATGCAGGAAGGCCATGGGATGGCTTGTCATACAGGACTCGTGTTCGCTAATGATACAGTGTACAAGCAATCAGACCTCTATTCAACTTCCTCCCCGTAAGACTGTCCGCTTCTCCGCTCAGCGTACGTGCCGTAGATATCGTACATGGTGCAAATGAAGCACAGTCGTGATTAGAATGCATGAGCGAGTCCGTGATTATGCGTTCGGCGTCATAGATATATAGTCATAATGTCCTATGCACCACCACGGGCGGTAAGTACGCTTCCCGCTCCTTCGGCAGGGAATACTCACATGACAAATTCGTTACAAGCATCGCGCCTCGTCATGAGGTGGATGCACAGGGGCTCAGAGCACGGCGATCGAGCTCGCAGGGGGGTTCGGGGTGATG